TCTTCACTCTAAAGGCCGGCAACGCACCTGTAACGCCCCTGGGACTACGGGTGTCTATGGGCGAGGGTAATCTCTTACCATCAGGTGACCCGTCTACTCGTTTGCCTCCTGTCACATAAAAAAACGCCTCAAATTGTAACGTAATGGCTATCAAGATTTTTTAGCGATTAGAGTCGTTTTTCTAACTAAATTTTACATAAATGGCTATGTTCCACAGCAGGCTTTTTTAGTAAGTCCCTTTAGCACGATACCCGTGATAGGATTACCCATTGATTTACATAAAATACATACGTATTATCGTAACTAAAGTTTTGGACTAGGCTTAACCACAAAGTAAGTGAGTTTGTTACTCCTTCACGCTAAAGGTACTGGACGGGTCGTATTTAATTTACATTTAATTTTCGTGTTGAATACTGGTATTTAATTGGTACATCTACATACCTAAGGCTAACTTAATAGACATTATCTGTCAGTTAACCTTAGGGCTAAACAGAAAATAGGTTTACATGTGTGGTGGCTCGTTACTGTTCGTTTTTCGAAAGTTTTGATAGACATTACACTATAATTGTTATGTGCATGTTCACGTACACACTCTCTCTCTCGCCTTCGTGAGTTGCAAGAACTATACTAAATTACAATTTCCGTGCCTCCAAACGCCTGGAAACCCTAACCGACACCGAAATTAGTTTCCACCGAATCGCTGATTGCTCAACGCGTTTTGTTTTGTTCCAAATCCCAACTTAATTAGCGTTCACAAACAGCGCGATACGTGACAAGTTTCTGTTGGGAAAAAGTTTACTGTGCTACGTCACAATCGCTTTGAAAGACATGGAGATTGATTTGAAATCGCCTTCAACGACATGGAGATTGACAGAGATGATAGCGACAGTTAAATTCAAAATGGCAATTGTTTTTTTATATCCACAACGAGGAAGCTCTTGGCCTGTATCTCACCTGATGGTAAGTGATGGCTTCACCCGGAATCCTCAACCACGGAGGAACTGGCTATCTTACCTCTAACTGCCGGAACTCAACAATGCTGTTAACATTGTTGTTATGGCGACAGACTTAGGTAAGATGGTGGTAGCTAGCCAGGCGGACTTAGAACAAGTCCTACCACCAACCAAACTGAACAGAAAAATCAATCTGCCCCCACTAGGAATCGAACCTGGAGCCTACCTGGACCACCTCTGTGTCTGAAGCAGGTGGTCTTACCACTAGACCACAGAGGCGGTGTTTCTACATTATGTACTTATGTAGAAACAATTGCCATTTTCAAAATGTCAGGTATTGGTAGCGGCACAGGAGTGAGATTGACATAATTATGACGTAAAAGAGCGTTATCGAATAGTATGAAAATACGTTCTCGTCTCTACATTTATCTACCTAAAATTGAACGTTGTGTCTTAAAATATCAATCTAAACTTAGCTTTTGACTTCTGCTCAAGTTCTTGTTCACGGTTGAATTCAAATAGGAGGGTAATTGGGGCTTTATCGAACGATGGCTTTGATGTAACTTGTGTTAAATGTACCTATTATTAACTCTTTTTTAACTTAGTGAATGAAAAAGGACAGACTATCTGAAGAATAGGCTAGTTGTTACTTAATTGCCGTCACAAGGTGCTACACTTTTAAGCACAGCTTGACGACACGGGCCTCTTCTTTTGAACTTTGGCAGGCTTTATTTCAATCTTCATTAGAAAAGGTAGAAGTGTAGATTATTTTTTGATTAGTTAACCGACGGACTAATTCAAACTCTTGCTTTTTTACCTAAAAACATTCCTATTGTTAAGCTGTTACATATGTATGTAGCTTTTATAGACTACAGAACTGCAAGCTGTTTAATGATACATCATCATTTCAGCCACAGGATGTCCATTACTGAACAACCTCCTCCAACGGGTTCCAGATTGTCCTGTTATTTTTAAAAACATTAAGTAGGTCAATTTCAAATGAGAACACATCTTTAAAGATACATTTTCGACCCATTTTCGCCAAAATAAACAACACACATTTAATTATAATCCCATACACATACCGCGCACAATTAATTCCGGCCCAATACAAAACCTTAATTAATTGCTTAAGTTAAGTAGCCCCATAACAGTTAAACTTGCAAAGTTACCGTCGAGATGTTTACTGTTATGATACCGTTAATAAGTAGCCGTAAGCTCGACCAGTGCCGAGAGAGATCAGCCAATATATAACACCAAGGATTTCCACAAAAAACGGTCCTGCGCTGCCCGCATAAGGGGGCGCCGGGCGTAGTGCGAGTTTACATCAAATGTATTGGATGTCGAGTGCGCCAAAAAAAATTATGAAGATTTTAGTTCTTGAAAGTATCCTTCCGCTGTACAATCCTTCATACATTTAATGTCATTTTTTAATACGCAGTCGATATCGAATACGTTTGATGTAAACTCACACTAAGCCCCAAGTTCACCCTATGTCCAATTTTCCTGTACATTTTTTAAAAAGTAGGTACCTACTGCATTTTTTTTACCTTCACCGGCGAGTAATAGGACTACCTGTTGTAACTCAGCAATGGCGCGAACCAGAGGTGGAATTGTGTAAAGCAATCGTTATCATTTGACAGTTCATAACGTAAGATAATTCTGTCAAACGCTTTGTATAACTGACTTAATCGTACGTTATGAACTGTCGAATGATTACTTACGATTGCTTTACACAATTCCACCTCTGGTTTGATTCGCAGGATTAACATCGATACTTAGCTTAACTGGCTGTTCTCGTCTAGATGTGGCTCGCTTATCGCGATCACCTTTACAATTCATTAAGCTAGACCCACATAAAGCGTCCCGAACGGCGCAATGCTGGAAAAATGTCCTATCCCATTAGTACGGGCGAGGACGTATTAATTGCTGGAAGATCTAAGAAAAAGAAACATTTAAGATTGTTTTCAAGAGAAAGCCCATACATAGTACTACTAGAATCTGAGTATCGAATGCAGATATTACCTAATAAGGCCCATTTTCCACCATAGACGAAAGGGGATTTGTGTTTTGAATAACTAATCGGATTTCGTTATTTTCACATCTTTTCTCCCTTCAGCTTCAGTGGGATCGAGCGGAGAGAGAAGATAAGTTCTTTTGTTGAAGAGAAGAGTCAACGACGAAGTATTCTAGTCGAATAGAAGAAGACGAAGAAAGGTAAGTGAATAGGTTTCTCAATACTCATTAATATTTTAAGTAGTTGCCTTTTAGTAAAGCTTAATCCGCAGGAGAACGCAAAGTGACTGACAGCCCGCAGAATTGCTAAAATCAAGTGGCTTTGGGCGGGGCACATAGCTCGTAGAGCTGATGGCCGCTGGGGCAGAAAATCGAGTGGCGACCACGGGCCGGAAGACGTAGTGTGGGCAGGCCTCCCACTATGTGGAACCGGTCTTTGTGGAAAATCTTGGGAGAGGCCTTTGTCCAGCAGTGGATATCTTTTGGCTGAAACAAATGAACGAATGAACGAAAATTAATATTTTTTATAACCCAGTTTTATTTTATGGCCTTTCCAGTATTATAAGTCCACGGTAATGTGCCTAACATGATAACAACATACACTTCCGTGTGCAAAATGGGTTTTAATTGTGATAAATCCTTGTTAATTAACCTTACTGAAGGTGATAAGGAAAATGGGTTTACGTATTAAAAAGAAAATACACTATTTAGTTGGGAAAATCCCATCTGTATACAGAACGTTGCAAAGCAATGTTTATAAAAGCTATTAAAAGGCTCTTTCCCACTGAGATATCCCGTTTTTTCCAGGAATGGTTTTCGCAGGATCCTGTTCGAGCATCCCGTTTGCAGTATCCCGCAAAAAACCGATCCGTTCGGAGTTGGAAGTCGAATTTCAAACACACGAGTGTTTACACGACGGTCCAGTTTTACGGAATCCCGCATTACTGGTTCCCGCAAAATTGAATTTGTATGGGAAAGGCAGTAGTTAGTAGGGTAAGAAATAAAATTTACAAGAAACTGTAGGGCCCAAAAGATAAGGAGACATGTAAAATGCCCCTTAAGGGCTATCTTTTTAGGGTTCCGTAGCCAAATGGCAAAAAACGGAACCCTTATAGATTCGTCTTGTCTGTATCTCTATCCGTCTGTCCGTCCGTATGTCACAGCCATTTTTTTTTACTGTATTTTGACGTTCATAAGTGCCACTAGTTGTCAAAATTGAATAAAATATTTTTGATTTGATTTGATTTGAAAAATATTTGTGCCATCCGCCAATTAAGATGCAATAATGGAACTTCTCAATTAACGCAAAATTATCAGCTACAATACGAAACAATTAACGATCAATTTCGATTGAAACTTCGCCGAATGATGAGGCCTCCAATCGAGTCCTTTTATATCCCGGCCCTCCCAAGGGCCATCCCGAAAGTTCATTAAACTCTGTACACCCAATTAAACAGTCAACAAACTTTTTCCCAAAGAAACTTGACAGGTATCCCAATGTTTGTGCTCGTAATCAACTTGGGATTAAGAGACCCCATACTTAATTAATATCACCTAGTAGAAAAAGCAATAGTTACATTTTTGCTTCAAAATAGCACCTAAATACTACGCCACATGACGCAATGTAAAATAAGTATAGATTAAAAAAATTTTTTTTGTTAACCGGTGTTATTCACAAAATGAAAATCTCTTCATTTAATTTTAATTTTGTGAAATGTAGCTGTACAGTTAGTAGACCTTTCCAAAATTACGAATTTACGGTTTCAGCCGGGTACAGTGATAGCCTAACTGTACTAATTTATTTAAATACTAGCAGGTTCACATATTGTGTGAACCAAAAATTATGTGGAGGGAGGTGTTACCTAAACACGAATAATCTTGTCAGTAAATAAATCTCAGTTTTCGTTTTGCAAGTAAATTATGAAATTAGGACTTTTTAGTGAGCAGGATTTCCTCTCATGTGAATCTATGTTCATAGATAGAGTTACAACACTAAAACAATTTAGAATTTTATCATACAAAAAAATAGTAGTCAATTAAAACATCATTTTATTTAAAAAGTTCCTTCAGTTTTCAGTCGCTGCAAGCGTTTTCAATGCTGATCCTTCCATCTACTTCTGAGAACACTGGCGACTGTTGCCTGATGTACTGCATGAGCACGTCATAGTCCACTCCTAGCACGTCGACGTTCCTTCTGTTCTCAGATATCATCTGAAAAAAAGAAGTAAGTAATGTAAAGTAAACGCCGAATAATGACCGGCCTGAAGTTTAAGTTATTTATACCGTTATTGTGTATAGTAACGAAATGTTTAATTAAAAATAATAGATTTCTTACGTCTCTTTCAAATACATATAAATACGAAGATATCGACACTGCCAAATACAAAACTACCAAAGTAATCTAAGACGACTTTTTACGCATGTATTTCGTTTGGTATCTTAAAATTACTTAACAACTACGTCATAATTCATAAAGCTAATAACTAGGTTACGGCTTCGTTTTTTTAGTTTCGCGTTTCGTTTACGCTCAGTACAATGGTTTTGGTGTTAAGATGAATAACCACTTTAATGTCACTTACATAATGTTCTGAAGACCACTTAAGGTAGTGTGAATCCAAATTTTCAAGTTCGAAAAATTGTACTCAACATGCGAGAAACTGAAAAATGTTGGATAATTTTTCACGTTTTGGAAAAATAAAACTCACATAGAACCCGCCACCGCCGGCTCCTATAAAGTCCGAAGTGATAACCCTGTAGTACTTGTCTAGCACCAAGGGCTGGTATACCGGCACCTCGCACTCAATACAGCGCACGGTCACATCGACCACCCGACTGCCGACCGGTTGAGACCCGTCATACCTAATGTGTATTCCTGAAAATACAACCTGAAGTTTGACTGAAAGGTTTATTTATTTATTTATTTTCAAACTTACATGCACATAGAACAGTGTCTGACTTAATGCCTTTCGGGATTTTCCTCCAGTCAACCTTAGGGCCAACTTCAAAGGTTCATCATCAACAGGCATTTAGTCACCACTGTATTGAACATAGGCAAATAGAGACACGTTATGTAGTTTTTTTTAATCCACAACGAAGAAGCTCTTGGCCTGTATCTCAGCTGATGGTAAGTGATGATCAGGGCGAAGGTGGAAGCGAGCTTCACCCGGAATCCTCAACCACAGAGGAACTGGCTATCTTACCTCTAACTGCCGGAACACAACAGTGCTGTTAACATTGACTTAGGTAAGATGGTGGTAGCTAGCCAGGCGGACTTAGAACAAGCCCTACCACCAACCAAACTGAACAGAAAAATCTGCTCCCACTGGGAATCGAACCCGGGACCTCTGAATCGTGTATAGAAGCACGTTTTATCTACTTGTCGCTACTGTCATAATGCCTAAAGAGCAGGTATTCGATCCATGGAGATAGGCAAACATAGTGTAAAGCTCTTGCTCGACTTCAAGCTGGTTAAAAAAGCAGGAGATCGTGTTCTTAACGCTCCATAATGGTCTTATTTAACTGACATGATGTACCATGCATTCAAATGTGCAGTGTGAAGCGCCCTCTAGTAAATTGGAGAGGCTATTTAGATGATGATTTGACTTAATCGGGTGTGCACTATATTTCATCCACTCCTATAAGTTCTAAATAAACAATGAAGTGTGAATCGTTGTGTTTTAATTGTGAACGCTTTTGTGGTTTAATGGTTCAACTCAAATCAGTTGGATTCTTGCATTTTGAGGGTCTGACACAGAATATAATAGAAATAGAAACAACTAAATTGTGCAAAGTAATTATTAAGGTAGTGTTCTATTAAGTAGGACCTAATTAATAGATGAAGTGGAATAAATCCCACCTACAACGACGCAGCACCTAGCACCGAGGGTACAATCATATTGGCCACTCAATCACAAGTTAAATGGTCTTCTTCTTTCTTATCAAGAGCACTATATTGACCCTGGACCAAACGTGAGACATAATTCGCGTTAAATGGACCATAATCTAGACATACTTATTTTTATGGTAAAGACTGACAACTTATTTCCATTAACTTTCATATAAACTGCATACTTTTTACGCCTGAGTAAAATAACGTGGTGAGTGCATTTTCTACATTTACGGGCTAGTGGATGGTGAATGAGGATGGCATTTGAACGTAAAAGATTTCATGCAAATATAAAAGCTTGGTATAGTAAAACAAGAGTGTTCGCTATTGCATATTTAAGTTCTTAATAATTCACGAATTGGTGCAAATAACCACAACGTAGGCGTAGGTAAGTTGGTTAGTAAAATGATTTTGAGAATTCATGGTCTTCCTTTCATTTGATTTATCAAGTTTGTTAGATGATTACATCCTTATTGACTATAACGATCGATGCAATAAAAGTACCTACAGTGTCTAATTTTAACAGATTTTAGTCGGTTCGATTCCCTCTGTGTAATGCACTTTTCTTTCATTTCAAAAATAAAGGAATGTTTCTTTGAAAAAGTAAAAGCTTCTATTTTCAGTATTAAGAATTAATTTCCCTTCAGGTCGTATTACAAAATTCTACCCTATATATTATAAGAATTAAAGGAGAATTTTGAAAAAATCTTTTAACATTTTTTCCTGTACACTATTAGACTAAGAGCTAGTGAACGCCAGACCTACGTTATTTTATAAAGGCTGAAAGTTTGTCAGCACATGCTCCCAACATAGCTAAGAACCATGGCCAAACATGAAGTTTGGGTCATGGTGGCTTTGGCAGACAGACGGTAGGTAAAGGTGTGTAAAATACCAATTTAATTACGTCAAAGTATAAAGGCTGATTTTTTGATATTTCCTTCAAAATTTTATTAGAAATGACGTCATTCATTGACAGACACCTACCATGGTGGCAGACCTTTGCCAGACACCTTAAAGTTCATGAAAATGTAGTCCTACTTACGTCATACTATAAAAGCTGATATTTACATAAAATATTTGAACTATCATTTGATGAAGTTTCCTCATCAGCCAGACACTTCTGATGGTTCCTTCGCCTTGCCAGACAGCTTTTAGGGTGGCTGAAAGTGCGAACGCGAGGCACCATAAATATTATTTTTTGTACTTTTTCTTAAGTTACTCAAGTATTTGAGTCTGTAATGTAAAGATGGAAGGTAAGTACAACTCCTTAAGGCTTAGGTAATCCCTAATTTTAAAGTGATTACTTCTGAAAGTTGCCTAGAGTAAAGTTCTTAGCAACATTAGCATTACCTATGTTAATGCTAATGTTGCTAAGAACTTTCCTCTAGGCGTTTAGCAACTATTTTGAAGAGAAAATTTGTGGCACCACATTTTCCGTGTATATAAATTCTAGTAAGGATTTGGGGGTCCTAATTCAATATAGAATTGTTATAGAATTATTTGATACTATAAATTTGATTATACTATGCATAGTAATAGATATATCGTGATGGTTTCGCTGGAAGGATACTCTGCAGCGCAACCACTTTCAATAACAAAATACGGCGAAACCTGAGACATAGTTTTTTTTTTAAATAGGACTAGAATTTTATAGACATTTCAAAGATTTATTTTAGAAACTTACACTAGTTAAATCATAAGTAGTTCCGCCGGGGAGCATGACTTGAATTATCCTACAACTCCTAAGCGTTAAGGAGTTGTACCTTCCATTAACATGGGATGATGACTAGCTGATGCAAACACCCAAATAACTTCAGAAACTATACTTATATATACTGGTTAAAGAATTGTCCTCCAACTCCTAAGCCTTAAGGAGTTGTACTTACCTTCCATCATCAGCTCATCAACATGAGATGATGATTTACAGACTCAAATACTTGAGTAACTTAAGAAAAAGTACAAAAAGCAATATTTATAGTGCCTCGCGTTCGCACTTTCAGCCACCCTAAAAGCTGTCTGGCAAGGCGAAGGAACCATCAGAAGTGTCTGGCTGATGAGGAAACTTCATCAAATGATAGTTCAAATATTTTATGTAAATATCAGCTTTTATAGTATGACGTAAGTAGGACTACATTTTCATGAACTTTAAGGTGTCTGGCAAAGGTCTGCCACCATGGTAGGTGTCTGTCAATGACTGACGTCATTTCTAATAACATTTTGAAGGAAATATAAAAAAAATCAGCCTTTATACTTTGACGTAATTAAGTTGGTATTTTACACACCTTTAGTACCGTCTGTCTGCCAAAGCCACCATGACCCAAACTCCATGTTTGGCCATGGTTCATAGCTATGTTGGGAGCATGCGCTGACAAAGTTTCAGCCTTTATAAAATAACGTAGGTCTGGCGTTCACTAGCTCTTAGTCTATATGACAAGTGATGAATGATAAAGCGACCGTTTGAACTTTACGTCATACAAAAACATCTAGACCAAACTCTTGACTAACTCCATCCTTCCTCCTCATAGAGAAACTGCTTTCTTTAGACGCGAGCAGACGCCACGAAAAAGGTTTCAAGTGAATTTTCAAAGAAAAAAGTTTCAGCTAAATTTTGAAGGAAACTTAAGTTGAAAAATATTGGTTGTTGTAAAAAAATACGTCATAAAAGGTTGTGGATTCTTTCAAAAGAGCAGCTAGCACACATAATAGTTTACTTAATAATTTTATGTTGGTAACCTTATGCATTACTATTTACGGTGAAAAAACATTTTGTTATAGTATTCTCGTATTACCTAAGTATCTGCTTTTTTATTAATTTGGTGAAAATCTACCTGGAAGGGTATTTGTTAAGTACTGTTTGTCTTTTGTAATTAATTTTCTTATCCATACTACATATTATTAATTTAAGATTTTTAGAGCAGTCAATTTATGTTAGAAATAAAAGACGTAAGTGTACTTACGACTTTTTCCTTCCCAACTGCTAACATTATATTGGTGTTTGAAAATTGATCAGGCCATCCATTATGGATACAATATTATGGTAATATCGACTATGGCGGCTGCATTATTCTTAGGATCATGGGATCATTGAATAATAATAATCGGCGGGTACGAGTTCAACTATGAATTTATTTTTCCATTTCAATAGGCGCGTCTTTTTGCTCGCGTTGCCATGGGAACGCTAATGGTGTTTTTGCCTTATCTTGACACCATGGAAGTAACTTCGTTGAGTTTAGAAATTGGTGCTGTTATGGTTGGAAAAATAAATGTACGAGTAATAAGTGTTTTAAAAATCCTGCAATTATACGACCCGTTAAAATTTGGAATCCAAATATCAAACTCATACTTGTGTTTGTGGGTTGGATCCTGCAATACTGGATCCAGCATACCTGGAATGCCGTGGGAAAGGGCCATTACATGATAATGGTCGTGATTGAAAAAAACATACATAAATAAAATGGCACGCGCTCGTCATCATCATCATCATCATTTCAGCCATAGGACGTCCATTGCTGAACAAAGGCCTCCCCCAATGATTTCCACAATGGCCGGTTAGTGGCGGCTTGCATCCAGCGCTTTCCCGTTTTTACCTTTATGAGGTCGTCGGTCCACCTTGTGGGTGGACGTCCTACGCTTTCCGGTACGTGGCCTCCACTCCAGAACCAGGCACGCGCTCGTAAATTGTCGTAATTATTAATTTCAATGAGAAACCTTGCGACTTTTTTGCTACTCATACGTTGCTTCCATTAAAAGTTTTTGGCTCCAACTTTTGTAACGTATCTAATTACTTGGTATTTCTAATGAAATACACGGGCTATTTTTGATTTAAAACAAAATAAAATAATGTACGCATAGTTGACCTCTAAACTGCGCACAACTACAGACAACTACTTAGTTTTCAGTGAAGTTATGTTAGTTAATGGATTCGTTCGTTCGTTCGTTTCAGCCGAAAGACGTCCACTGCTGGACAAAGGCCTCCCCCAAGGATTTCCACGAAGACCGATCCTGCGCCGCTCGCATCCAGGCACCTCCCGCGACCTTCACCAGATCGTCGGTCCACCTAGTGGGAGGCCTGCCCACGCTACGGGCATTAATAATTTAATGGATTAAATTAATATAATTTTGTTATTTGGCAATGTCGATATGTTTTTGATATTCAAATAAATAATGTATCTGAAATTATGGACTTTTGATAATTTTTTTGAAAAATAATAATTATGATAACATTCTATAAAATGCTTCTATTTTTATGTCTTTAAAAATATTATAATCAGGGGTGTCACTCACAGTAAATCCATCGCCGCCGTTCGCAATAAACGTCTGGGACACCACCCTGTACCACCTGTCAAGCTGTAGAGGCTCGTAGCGAGGCACTTCACACTCGATGCAGCGCACGGTGACGTTGACAACCCTATTGTATACAGGGCGAGAGCCGTCTAATATCGGACGCAGCCCTGCGTAAAATGATTCAAGTGAAGTGACACGACGCAGGTCAAGTGTTGATCATGACAACGACTGTTATTTTTGAGGGATACCTAGTGGTGGATTTTAAACTTACGCGACCACTTAGTGCTGGACTTAAACGCGGCCATAACAGCGTATTACACTTGAAAACGACGGGTTCATCCAGTGTCTAAGAAGCTTAGATGGAAGAGCAGTCGCCCGGCAAGCGAAAGGTCGTGGGTTCAATTCCCGCCTTGGGCAGTTCGATTTTTTCAAGTTGTTTATTTAAAATTTGGACTTAAAGATGATGTGGTTTCCTTTGGATTAATTATACTTAAATTGAAATAGGAAGGCCCACCACTAGTTTGACCGACGACTATGCCGATGATCGGTGAGAGTCACGGGCGGTCTTTGTAAAAATCCTTAGGGAGGCCTAACTAATGTTCAGCAACGCAGTTCATTTGACTGAAGCGACGACACACATTTAACGGCAAGTAAAAGTATTTTGCTAGGTATAAACTGCTCATAATTCGTAAGCGATAAATAAGTAATAATTGACCTTCTCATGTCAATTATTACTTATTTATCGTTTACGCCAGATAATAACATTTTGGCACTGGCACCCTTAGGCTGAGTTGCACCACTTAGTTTTAACCGTGACTCTAACGACAACCGGCGTATTTTGTAAGGATTTTGACAGATTTTTGACGTTTGTTAAAGTCAAAGTAAGATGGTGCAACCCAGCCTTAGTAACGGAAATTTTCGCTGGTAAGTAATAAAGTAACAAAGATAAAAAAAATGCTAAAACAGTTTTTGTGCTATTATTTTCTTTCATTTAGTATAATTATTTTCATTCAATAAACTTAAAACGTCTTTATTGTTTCATCTCCATACTGTGATTTCAGTCAAATTATTTCGGGCATTACAATTGAATATTGTTTTTAGATTTTATAGAAATATTTTCACATTCGTAGTACATTTTACTTTATTTTTTGTTCGCAACTTGCTTTTAGAGTGATTTTACAATACATTAGTAATTCAATTGTCATTTTATGGTTCAAAGCAATGTGAGCCATAACCAAAATTATTTGGTAGGTCTATTTGTTACAATGAAATTCATGACTTAGTACGAGTAAAACCAAAAGTCTCAGATTGGTTTTGAATGAATGATTTTAGAAACATTGAAGCAGCAATCGTAGTGTATTCGTGATTATGTCAAAATCAAGTCACGAATACAGTAGGGGACAAAAATGTCCCGTGTAACTCAGATTCAACATGTTGCAGCAACGTTCCCAAACTGCTCGAACTGTCCCTCAGTGTTTATTGCAACATACTACGTGACCCGGTACATGTTTCGTATTGACACTCTACGGGCAAAACAGTCCCCGGGAACATCACGTGGTTGGTCAGTGATATGTACCGCAACATGTTGCTCCATTTGTCTCTAAGTGTATCCAAGGCTAGTCTCTACTTTCATCACCATAATCGTTTCATCGTCATTATCACCATCATTTCAGCCATAGGACGTCCACTGCTAAACATAGGCCTCCCCCAATGATTTCCTTAATGACCGGTTGGCGTTATTTTGGAGTAGAATAATGGTCAATAAGTTGATGGTGGATATTATGGACTTCTTACCTGAAACCTGCAGCATCCTGGCTCCGTTAAAAGGATCGTTGGCCACTGCAAACTCTAGCATCTCGATGATGTGATCTCCTCTTAGCTCAAATACTTCAACGTTGTTCTCAAACGGAGTCGATAAAATCACCGATTCGAATGTTATTTCTGGAAAAAGACAAGTTTTATGTCATCGAGTATCTACATGAGTACAGACAGATTGGTATAATCTGAACTGCCTGTGGCGTATTAAATGGTAATAAGTATTTTTCAATAAATGTATCGTGAATTAAACAACTCATGTGGCAGTAGGCAGGGCATATAGCTCGTAGAGCTGATATCCGTTATGGCAGAAAAGTTCTCGAGTGGCGACCACGGGCCGTAAGAAGTAGTGTGGCCAGACCCTCTATTAGGTGGACTGACAATCTGGTGAAGGTCACGGGAAGTACCTGGATGGTCGGGTCATTGGAGGCCTTTATTGTCCTTCACTGGACGTCATTTGGCTGAAATGAACGTATAGTAAACAATGTTACCTACTTCCAGGCTCAATATCAGCGCGGATGCCGCCCGTGTTCGTGACGCAGAAGTGAGCGTCATGCCAGTTGTCCCCTTCAGCTCTGCTTAAAGCCTAAAATGTATTGGTATTTTTATCAGTACCAAAGTATAATGTGATTTAAATGTTTAAAGTGTAAGACTAGCGCCCCCCCCCCCCCCTCCCGGCTATTAAAAAATATAATAAGCCTACCTACGTTCACCAGAAAAAAATAAGTGAAAATGGCGAAAGAATTTTTCAAATTGGTGTTTCTTAGCTTAAGTAATACAAACACACAAAACTACAAGATGCTAAATAGTCTGGAAAGCATTTTTTTTTTATGTGACAGGAGGCAAACGAGCAGACGGAAGCGTGGGCCAAATCTTTAATTTGTCTCTGGTAAATAAGAGAACATCGTGCTTTAATACAGTAAAGACTAAATTGCCTCATAATGATGCTGATGATGAATTTTATTTAAAATATGAAATTAAAATAATAATACTTACTGAATGCATGAAAGCATCGCAAATAAAATTTCCCAGGTTACATTCTTTGCAACTGCAGCTCGATGACATGTGGACCATGGAGTCGCCAATCTCTTCATTAGCTGCCTCTTCCACCATGGGTAAGTAATAGCTTATCTTCTCAAGCACATCTGGAGCTGTGTGGACAAATGAAACAAGTTATTTAAAGATAGTGCATTTGGAAGCTCCCTAAAATAGGCATGAACCAACATCATCATCATTATTTCAGCCACATGGCGTCCATTGCTGAACGTAGACCGCTCGCAATAATTTCCTTATTGACTGATAGCGGCCTGCATCAGCGTCTTCCTTCCCACCTTTATGTGGTCAACGAATGCAGATTTTTATGATGATGATAAAATTAATAATGTACCTTGCACTATATCATGTCCGATATAATGTGGGTTGCCTTCCCAATCGAGGAGATTTCCGTCATCATCGAAGAACAATTTTATCTCGCCCAAGTATAGTGTGTGTGCGGCAGCTTGCACTATTAAAACCTGAAAAAATATTAATTTATAAACAACTAACTTGAAAAAATCGAACTGCCTAAGGCGGGAATTTAATTAGCTCTGCAGTGACTTACATAAAATTTACTTTGCAGTAACTTACAGATCTAGTTTCTTGCTCCACGACCACCGGGTAAGAATCCTGAGGGATGAACCCACTGGTGTCTGGCGGGTCTCCATTGTACAGCAAGGTGTGGCTGTGACCACCGACTATTATGTCGATGTAAGGGCCGGCGTGCTGTGCTATTTCTCTGTGAAGCAGAAGATTTTACACAAAACTTACTCATCAAACTTGAAGGCTAACCCTTTAAGCCCCACGAATTGAGACACAAAATCAATTGTTAGATGTTTTAGGACCATCCCTAATGTTCCCGTGGATGTCATAAACGCAAAGCCTGTATGTATACTAAGGGAGAAATTAATGCCAACATCAATCAGTGAAGGCCAATGCACCAACTTTGAAAATAGTCGTGTTCGTGCAGTGGAGAGTTACCTGATTATAATAATGATAATGATGATGATGATGATCATGATCCTGTATGACTTGTCCAAATAGCATGAGATGCAACTCACCTGTCTATATCAAGACCACAATGTGACAAAACTATGATTATGTTCACTCCTTGTTCGTTCAGTTTTTCAGCTTCTCGCTTGACAGTCTCGACCTCATCAGTGAACTGAAGTCTACCAGTCGAGGCCAGTTCCTGTTGATGAAGAAAGTAATTATTATTTCGATGTCTCTTTTATAATGCGAACAGCTAGGGACTGGAATTCGCTGCCTGCTACTTTCTTTCGTCTTTCCCGAAGAATATAATCCGGGCCTTATCAAGGCGAGAGTGAACAGGCATTTACAGGGCAGATATGTACCATCCTAGACTGCATCCCACTTAACACAAGGTGCGATTGTGGTCAAATATCCTGTCTTGTTACGCAAAAAAAATGGTTTTTGGTTTTTTAGATCTCTTTTAGATCTGCAATAAAACCATTGGGACCATTTCAAATATACTATTTCTTTCTTCAAGATCCTGTCTAACCTTTAAGCAAAATTATTCTTTTTGTATTTCTAACAAAATAGATTACACGTGAAAATATTTTGAACGGTTGAAGCAGTAAAATGTTCACGTCTGCAGTCTATCGTAAAACGAGATATCCAAACACCATTTCCTCAAAAGGATTTAAGACATCCATTTGTATCAAATTAAGGAAAAGACTTGGAAATTATTCCAATTTGATCCTTGAGTTGTCACACATATTAACATAATTAATCCTTCAAGTCCCAGAAACATGAAACTTAATTGAAAATTTGAAATTCATTGTTAAAGCAATTTCATGTCGTATGAAGAATTTGGTATGTACTTGATAAAACGACTTGTTGAGTACTAATAATATAGACATTTAGGTATACAGGGTGGAAACTAAATATAATAAGGATTCTCACTAGATGTTAAATGTTTTCAGCTTGGAAATAATCGAGTGAGATAACTTAAGTCAAGTTACAAGTGAAAAAAGTTTAATGAAATCCAAGGGACGCTGGTTAGATTTCCGCCATTGTATTCTAACACAAGCATAATATTTATCATAGTGAACAGCATTAAAAAAACCTCACATATTTTTACTTCGAGTAATAAGTATTATTATGATACCTCAGATATGACTTAAACGATCTTTCACTTGTTGAACAACTTCTCCTGCACTTACGTTTGTCGAAGCTATGATGACACCAATGATCCCAATCCTGCGGCCGTTCCTCTCAATGACGATGCTTGGTTCATACAACCCCTGGATGGTAGGTTCTTCGTCATCTATTATGTTGGCTGTGACCACAGAAGATTTCAGGTGTTCCAAATATGGCACTACTCCTTCAATGCCGTTGTCGAATTCGTGGTTACCTAAAACCTGTAGAAGAATTTAATACACGGTTGGTAATTGAAAACTGACAACAAACAATAGAGAACCAACTTAAATAGCATATAACTCTTAGAGCTGATGGCCGTTGGGGCAGAATTTTTTTCGAGTGGCCACCACGAGCCGAAAGACGTAGTGTGGGCAGGCCGTCTAAGTGGACCGACGATCAGGTGAAGCTCGCGGGACGTACATGAATGCGGGCAGCGCAGAACTAGTAGCAGTAGTACAGTAGACAGCATATCAAGAAATAAACATTGAGGCATCCTTGTGTAGATGTAATAAGAGGGATTTTGAGACAAAAATGTATAGTCTGATGTGCTGTGTACTGTCACTAATAATTAATGGTTTTAGATGACGAATTTATAATAAATACTCACATGGGCATCATGAGGCAGCATATTCATGAAGTCCTGAGTGACGTTCCATCTCAACAGGTTATACCAGATGGTGCCTTGGAAGGAATCTCCTCCATTCAGGAGTAAAGACGAGGGTTCCTTCTCTATGCAGTCCCGCACCATCGTGGTGAGGCGAGCGAAACCTCCAACACATGGTGCCACTGATGGATTACAGATGGTTCCGCTTGGGCTGGTTTCTACGAATCTAGGCAAAAAATAATTCTGTTTGTTTGTTTCCTAATCTTAGTTTTGACGATGGTGGTATCATTTGGGAAATATTAGATCTCCTAAAGTTACAAGTGCGACATTTGCAATTCCGAAAACGCTTCGCTGTAAATTCAATTATTTCGCCTCATGAAGCAGTTTCGATTAAAATTGTCACAAATATTACTTATAGGCTCCTCGGTCTCCACAACCATTCTGGCTAGCAAGGAATGTAGGCCAGATCCTCAATATTCCTTGGTAAATAAAAGATATGCAGAAGCATTGGAAAGGAAGAGAATAAAAAAAAGCTTGTAAAAAAGAAGAGATTTGGAAAACGATAATCTTAATTTTCATATTATTGTTGGCACATAAGTATCAATGAAAGTTACCAGTATTTATAAATCACTAGCTTTCCGCCCGCGGCTTCGCCCGCGTGGAATTTTGTCGGTCACAGAAAAACTTTATCGCGCGCGTCCCTGTTTCAAAAACCGGGATAAAAACTATCCTATGTTCTTTCCCGGGACTCAAACTATCTCTATGCCAAATTTCATCAAAATCGGTTGCGAGGTTTAAGCGGGAAAGCGTAACAGGCAGACAGACAGACAGACAGACAGACAGAGTTACTTTCGCATTTATAATATTAGTTGGGATTTAATTCTTCACATTATTTATAAAACCAATACCTAACAAAAACAATAATCGAATGCCCATTTTCACCATTAATCCCTAATTTTTAAGTGACCCCTAAAGTAACACATAACAGGCATTTTGTTTTTATAGGGATTAGGAATTGATGGTGAAAACGGTCATAAGTCTATTCTAACAGTAATTTACTCACCTAGCATGAAAATCATTATAGTGCAGTATATTCAATGCAAATGTACTATTTTGGGCTGCAGCCGAAGCCAGAATTAAAACAAAATACAACAACGTATACATTTTTCACTGTCACAGTAACATTTTCAATACACACGACACGAACTACAAAAGGGAACACAGTAAAAGTTATATTGATAAAGTTTAGTAATTCAAAGGCAGATTGATAAACAAACGTAATCTAAATAATATGCAATAATCTACGAGTGACACATATTGAGCAAATGATTTCGATGATAAGAAGTGATAAAGTTATAAATTATATTTTAGAGATAACAGTTATTGGACAAAATTAACAAAATAATTTAGGTAAATAAATACATTTCAGTAAACTACAAATCTAAATCTTCAAAATTTAATTCTGTTGAAAAGATCACCTTTCATGATTACCGAAACAAAATAGTATAATAATAATAAAATTTCACTTCGGATTGTGTAATACTACCTAAATTTTATTATTTATTTTGTCTTTAGACAACGAAATCGTATTAAAAATAAAATTTCTTGCCCAAAGCATTAAAAATGATCATTCCTGATTTATATGCTCTCATATTTTTTAACAAAATATAAATAATGATTTTTTGGAACAAGACCCAATAATTTTTCAAAATACATTACTTACCTATTAGTCCAGTCATTACGTACATTCAAAAAAGAAAATGAATTTGCGCTTCTAATTTTTTAATATGTTGTAGGGGATACCTAGAAAAGCTTAACTTGAGATTGTCGACCAAGCTTTCCTAGGAGCTTTCGCCGCCATGTTGAAAAAGGGGGTAAAATTTGTTTTTTGGCAATAACTCGGCTATCCGATGAGACTCGAAAATTTTTGTAGGACACTTTTTGTAGCTTTCTTTCTGCTCTACAATAACGCCCGAACCATTTTTAGCGTATCATGCATCGTTATCGAGATATCGATCGATAAAGTCAAAAATTTTGGACACAAATTATTTCGGAATAATTAAATAATTAACGTCAGATACGTACAACATAACTTCGAAGGAAAAGTTGCAATCATATTCGACGGTTATCCGACTGATATGACACTCGCTGGAACGAAAACTTCGGAAAGAGTACGACGTTCGAGAAAAAACCAATCGCCGGAGTTCACATTCGATGAGACAACTACTCCAAAAGTTAGCCAGGAGAAGTTTCTCACAAGGGATCAAAACAAGAACCAACTAATACAAATGCTTTGCCGTTACTTAAAAAAAAGTAATTAAAAGTAATTAAATTTTACTTTTTAATTAATTATTTAATTATTTCGGAATTTTTCATATTTATTTAGACCTGAAAAAAAAAGAAAAAAACAAAAATTGTGTCCAAAATTTTTGACTTTATCGATCGATATCTCGATAACGATGCATGATACGCTAAAAATGGTTCGGGCGTTATTGTAGAGCACAAAGAAAGCTACAAAAAGTGTCCTACAAAAATTTTCGAATCTCATCGGATAGCCGAGTTATTGCCGAAAAACAAATTTTAAGCGTTTTCCAAGATGGCGGCGAAAGCTCCTAGGAAAGCTTGGTCGACAATCTCAAGTTAAGCTTTTCTAGGTATCCCCTACAACATATTAAAAAATTAGAAGCGCAAATTCATTTTCTTTTATTTGCCTTTTTTTCGGACGAAATGACTGGACTATATATCAAAATTTATTTAAGAGTTTAAGCTCAACCACATTTAACGTTATCTAATAATAGTTTCTACTCAAAGGCAGATTGATAAACATAGCATAATTTCTGATACAAGTTTGGATAATAATGTTACATTTTAATAAATACATTGTCTAAATAAAACAGCAAAAGCCTTGTATGTATACATACAGTATACAGTAGTCTAATAACGGATTTCATTATCTTTTACGACAGTACGTGAGCCACGACTTTTGCTGTCGTCTCCTCATTACCACATTTATTGACCACCCTGTATTTGCCATTAACAAGTTATAACGTTATTATTAACGCTATAACGTCATGTTATTAACGTTATAACTTCGTTATCTGTTATTAACGTGTTCGGAACAAAACGACGGTTCAAGTTTAATGTTGTTCTGTTAAACTTTTCTTGATAATGATCATGTGCGGCTTAAAGCTGATTTTACATTGGTGTCGAAGTTCTTGGAAATAAACATATTAATAAAAGAGTTTCTTATTAATATATTACGGTTTAATGAATCCACACGGACAAAATAATAATCAAGAAACCAGTGGCGCCTCAAGCAGCCAAAGAAGAAAATGATTAAATTTTAAAACTTGACAAAGGGTGTTTACATTCTTACTGCATTCTCCTTCCTGTAATGCCTCCGTAGTCTAGCAGTGAAAGAGTTGGATATAATTCGAAGGTTCTTGCTTCGATTCAGTGGAAGTACACCAAAAATTGAAAATTTGTTGTAGAGTTAGATTAAAATTAGTACCACGATTATTTAATTTTACTGAGGAATTTTATCGATTTTAAACGATAAGCCCATTCACTTATCGACGAAAATCCTAGACCGGCGGGAGATGCTTTTGGTTATTAAGTTGGATTGAATCTCAGATCATAGAAGGGATTGAATCAATCAGATTGTACCTAATCTATGAATTCTTTTATTTATGTCTTGATTAGGGGAGACCTAGGAGAGTTGTGACAGAGGTGAGTTGTGACAAGGACGATTTCTCCTTACTTAAGATAGTTAGGAAGGTGGTAAAAACGCTTGTTTGTCGCTTTTAAGACGCTCTTCTTAACTAAGTACCTGCGGGAGGCGCAAGAGGCACGGTTAAGTAAATATGACGTCCGTGTACAAAAAAATGCGAAAAGTAAGTTTTTCTTCAAAATTTTATTTCGATTTATATCATGTTTTAGTATATGTGCACTGTTGTGTTATTTTTTCCCAAGTTGCATGGTTATTCAGGTCTCAAAATGTAGCACTGATCATTTGTGTGCGCATCGTGTTTAGAAAATAAAAATCATTATTCGAACCAAGTCGTCATTTTAAACATCTAGGAGAGTTGTGACAGGCTGTCACAACTCTCCTAGCTTACTGAATTTTTCTGATGGGCCATTCCCACGATGTTTTTAGATGTTTTTTGTATGTTAGTAGGTTCATAATTTGTATAATTGCGTGCTGCTACTTTTTTGATTCAGTATGCCTAATAACTATACATGAAAGCCATATAGAGGAACTGTTTGGTAGATTCGAAATCTAGGACCTGGCTTATAGAGTGATTAGGTTAAAGGGTTAAAGTTACAGTTATAGTAAGTTACTTACAATCTAAACTTGTAAATAAATTAAGTTATTGTAAATTAACTAAAATTGTAAATCTAAATATATTAAGAAGAAAGAGGCTTATCAAGTAAACCCAGAAGGTGAAGCTCCGTCTATGGATTTTACCACCGCGACAATTTTATTTTTACAGGAGAGGAAGAAAATATATCTATAATATTAGCTAAAAAATATTATTAAAAAAAATCCAATGTCGTGGGAGAAAAATGAAAGCTGGAGAAATGTGGCTCAATTTGTGTAACGACGTCCCATAACTATTTGTTTTAATTAGTACTAAAGGATGATTATAGTAAGTTTTTGCTAAAAAATCATATTTCATTGAGTATTAAGGTATTTGTATATCTAATAGATGGAATACAATGCTGTCACAACTCACCTCGGTACCTGTCACAACTTACCTCGGTGCTAGGAGAGTTGTGACAGAGGGAGTGGTCTAAGATTTTGGTGATTTTCTTAGAAACCCTAATACTTTAGTTAACTTTAGTGATTGTTTTGAAAACAGAAGGAACGACGCTACATTAATTTGTATGATTCATAGCTGTGGAATGTTTTTTGAGCGAGATATGGCCCCTAAAGTAAAAATTGTCACAACTCTCCTAGGTCTCCCCTACCCCACAAGATTCATAAGATAATTTACAAATGCGGTTTATGTTAAAACTATCCTATCTACAAAATTCCTTTTCACTTTTACTTGAAGACTTTGATGTAAAGATAAGATAAGCATCAGGGGGCACGTCAAGCCTTCGGTAGTTCAACCGACACAAAAAATGTTGTAGCCCGATTAAGTATCTTATCTAGAATTTATTGTTACTGGCCACAATTTTTTACGACAATGATAAAAAGGCCAATAAAAATTCTGTTCTAACATCAGGTATTTCGTTTATGGTATAAAAATATTGGCTCAAGAGGGCAACTTATTTATTGGGAGTGCTGACATGCGTTTGAATTATGAAAGAAATCATTTGTTTGATCAACAAAACCTATTGGTGCAAAAAAGGGGTTTTTCAGGTTACTTACTTAATTTTTATTTCGGACCTCATTTTAAATCATATATTATTATGTTTTTATATATTTTATACCCCTTTAATCTTGGGACTTTAAAAATTTGCAATACCAATGTAGACTAGACCTTACAGTGCTATGATGTTAACCGATTGTGGTAATTGGAAGAGGGAAAATTAAGAGGAAAATATCGTTGACAAAGTTTTTGAAACTCGTTTTGATAATAAAGTATTTTAAAGTAGGGTAGGGTAGGACATTACCGAGGTTCGGAAATAGGGTACTTTTATGAAACCACCCAGTGTATGGATTTTTTGTGAATTGTATGTTTTGTATCGACAATGAAAAAATAAAAAGCTTATCCACCACAGGACACAAAAGTATACTAAAATTTTTGCAACTTCTAATTCAGTTAATACACAGTCCAAGTAAATCTGTAATTTATTAACCACAATTTAGTTATATTAGCTAACCGAAAACGACCATTTGGCGTGTAATAGCTACACGGCTACTATAATGTTTGTGTGATTGCAATAGTACGCATAAAGTTGTCTAGATGTGACTCACACATCGTGTAAGAAATATTGCAAAAAACAAGCCTTCCAAGCATTCTGTATATCCAACCAAGTTATTACGAAACATATTAGTGGGAAAGCTTAAATACTTCTCTTTTTACCCGACTACGGCAAAGCCAAAGGAGGGTTATGATTTTGACAGGCTATGTGTATGTATGTATGTATGTTCATGTGTTCCCTCGTAACTTCTAAACTACTTATCAGAATTCGACAAATGACATATCATTAGAAGCGTCTTAATTGTCCGCTGGTTATAGGCTATATGGGGTTTCACAAAATCTAATGTGGCGCCCTCTAGCGGACAAAA